AGGAGAGAAGAGAGAGACGGCGAGATAGAGGGCAGTGGGAGGAGAGAGAATTTTTTATACAATATTAAATATAGCTACAAATTATAATATTTTAAATTATAGTAATCTATATAGATACAAATCACATATTTACTTTAATGTAATTTTTTTGCTTAAAAGTAAGGTTTATTTGGGATACTAGATGACTTGGGCCGTGCATAGCAGAGGCATTTGCCTAATACTATAATTTTTTTTAAAGTAAGCTGTTTATTTGGGATATTATATAACTTTTTTTAATTGACAAATCGTACTTAGTGGATGGACAATACTAAAGTTAAACCTAGCCACAGCTAGACAAGATTTTGAGAAGATCAGACCTAGCTAAATTAAACCTCGTTAAATTCTTGTGTTATTTTTCTTTTTATTTTTTATTTTTATTTTTATTTTGCAACATCCTAGTTCTTCGTACCACACAGCTAGACAAGATTTAGAGAATATTTACCTTAAATTGATTAGTACTTGTATAGTTCAACTACAAAAGGTCTTTTTTTTTCTTTTTAGAAGTCTCTATTTTACTTATTTCTGAATATATTTTTTTAGCAGCACTACTATATATTTATAAATTATATACAACCAAATTAAAATCGAAATACGTTTCTTTATTTCGTGTCTAGGCTGATGGATTTTTCAAGAGGAAAAGAAAAATACGTCTACAACAATAAGTGTAGAGAAGTGTATGTGATGAAGCTTTTAATAGAAAGTGCTTCGAATATTATTTTATTGAACGAAACCTTCCCCGATTCGTTTGATCGTAGGTTACTTTATCGTGTGATTGTGAGCGATGAGAGTGGAAGAGTGTTCAGCACGCAGAGGAGAAAAGGAAAGCCAACGCCAAAGTGGAATGAGGAGATAGAGATACATTTTAATAGTTATCCTATTGGTCAGAACTTGAAGTTGATGATTGTTTGTGAAAATTGCTATAACGATCCAGGAACTTCTACGGGTCAAATATTGAAAGGGAGGGCTACAATTCCAATCCCAATAAATTTGGGCAAGGTGAAAGTTCGAAAAGTTGATTTAGTGAAACTTATTGGCGTTGAAAAGAAGGTGAATGCAACTATTAGCTTTAAGACTTTGCTCACTACACGACTTATTACTTCTGCATAAATTCAGATTTTTTTTTTCCATCTTGATTAGTGTTAATTAGCACTTATTAGTGATTTTTTAAAGTAAAAATTAGGGTTTAGGATTAAGTTTTACACGTTTTTTTCATACACTTCCGTTGTCTTAATTATTAATTGGATTGTTTAACTATGATTTTTAAAAAATTTTTTTGTGACCTATTTTTGCACGTTTCATTAATTGGATTTCATGTCGACCATAACTTAATTCTACTCTAAGGAAAATTAAATTTACATAATTTAATTCTACTTTTAGCAAATTTAATTTACCACTGACAAATTGGATAACTAGAATAACATTTGTAATGGATATTAAATCAAATTTATCGGTCCTATTATTGAGGAATATAAATACAGAAAATAAACACAAGAAACCCATTCACCGATCAATTGCCAAGTATCTCAAAAGAACAATGTCAAATGGTCTCTCCCAAATGACTACTATTCATATTAGGAAGCAAAGGATAAATTAGCTTAATTTTACATAGAGAAACTATATAATTAGAATATATTTTACTACCATATATATATATATATATATATATATAGTATTACTACTTATACTTTCAAAATATTAAGTATCCTATCACTAATTAAGAGTTGTTTGCTCATATATTGAGGCAGATACACTAAGATACATGCATTTTTTTCTACCAATACACTAAAACAGGGAGAGAGGCGAGCGAGATGGGAAGGGAGGTGAGTGAGATTTTGTTATGTATCTCAGATACATGCAGATCACACTAGATACATGTATTTATATGCATTTGGTGTGTTTTACATGTATATGAGATGTCAAATACATAGGAGAGTGGCGAGCGAGATTTATTATGTATCCCAAATACATGCAAATCCACTTGGATACAATGTACCTAAAACAAATTACACCTAATTTTGACCTCATGTATCCCGAAATACATGTATCTGTACGTATATGGACGCATTAAAATATGTTAAGATACGTAATATTACAAATTAGAGTGTATCTAAGTAATTAACTCCTAAACTAGTGAGATTTATGTAAGTTTTTCATTTCACATTAAGGGCATATCTGGACTTGGGCTTCTTATAGAGCTGGACTAATTGGGCTCATAAACAAGCTTAGATTGGGCCAAAAAGTGAAACTTTGCTTCATTTGTTTGGACATTCTCCAACTAATAACTCACACTATTTGTCAAAACTTATGATCATATCATAAATATGAATAATTAAACGGGAATATATCTACCACAAATATTTGTCAAAATTCATGATCATATCATAAATATGAATAATCTTCATACATAAGCAATCTACCAAGATCAGCCATGGCATTCTTGAAAATGAGACAAAGAGTCTGTCATTTTGAAGAATCGAAACGTAGTATGTGGTGAAACAAACATCAACATTCTATCATAAAAAATCATTTTATTCTCCAATGCTATTGAACAAACCATACTCTACTTTCCAGTATGATTGTTATCGAGAATTAAATTAATTTTTTTTAACAAGAATTATCATTAAAAGTAATTTGAAATATATATGAATACAACTTTTAAATACACTGAATTGTGGATTGAAATAATAAATGGGCAGGTCAAACTTGGGCAAGTTGAATAGGTCATATATATGTGATTCTTACATAACTGTATATACAACAACAACAAAAATTCAATCATTTGCAAATGTACTGTATCAATATTATTTATGATGTATAATTATGTATCACATATGTATACATCTACATAATATGTTTATATTATTTATACATTGCAAACTGTTTTTTTTTTCTTTCAATTTTGACAAACTCAATTCTCCTCTAAACAATTTCAAAGTTTTAGATATGAGCTCCTCTCGATGTTTCAGATCTTTTGATTTATTATTCGCTCGAAGCGGTTTACGTTTGTTGCATATTGTATTTTAAAATTGAGCTTTGAAGAAGCTTTGATGGATGAACATGGAGTTTTTCAATCTCAACCAACTTAAATCCTCTCTAAACAATCCCAAAATTTATATATGAGCTCCTATCGATATTTCGAATCTTTTGAGATTTTATTCACTCGAATATAATTCACGTTTCTAATTTCCACTTGAAAATACAGAAGAAATTAACTTGAATCATAAAATTTGAGACAGAAGAATTGAGAAGAAGAAAAAATATTTTTTTGCCGAATGACGATTTTTAAGTAATAAGTGATAATTGAGTTGTTTTTGGTACGAAATTTTGATTCAATATACATACTATCGAAGTTTGAGAAAATTTCGAAAATAACAAATATTAGACATAATAAAGCTCTATAGCTATAGTTTTGATAATTACGCTCCATTGCTATATTTTTGTTTGCTATGGAGGCTTCAGTTTGTATATATACAAATTCTATATTTATACATTTATGATTTTTTCAAAACTTCGTTAGTATATTTCACTTTCCCATACAAATAGGATAATATATTTAGGCAAAAGGCATAAATTGCCCCCTAAACTTGTATCCAAAAGTCATTTACACACTTTAACTAATGAGACGACCTATTACACACCTTAACTACATAAAAGTACATTTATTTCCCCCTTCTGTCACCCAACCCAGGACATTATGCCTAGAGTGAGAGCCACTCGCCTCCTAGTGAAGTCACGTAATAAAGACCCCAATCCATTTCATTTGACCCAAACCCGTTTCTTTTCACCCAAATTCGATTCTTTTCACCCAAATCCATTTTATTTTACCCTTGTCCATTTATTTCACCCACCCGTTTCCTTTCTCTAAGAACACCAAAACCTAATCATAAATTTCGTCTGTAAATCCTAATTTTAGCAAAAGATTTCTTCGATTCTGTAGTGTTTTTGAAGCAGATGATGGTGACTTAGTAGATTCTCCCATGTCAGATATTATTTTCTGTAAGTTTTTTTTGCGGGAGAAGGACACCAGAACAGGAGGGGCTGTGGAGAGAGTAAGACACCAAAGTTTTTCAGAGAAAGAATTGAAGAAGCAGAATTTTTGTGGAAATGAAAAAGAGAGGAATGAATCAAAATGGAAAAGAGATGAATGAATAATAATGAAAAAAGAGTTACCTTTGATTCAAAGGAAGGAATACAAAAGAAGGAATTTTGAACTATGTTTGAATTTAGGGTTTTTGATTAAGATTTTTGGGTGAAAATTTAGGGTTCTTGTTCATTAGGGTCGGGTGGGTGGGTTATAAGAAGATAATGGGAATATAACCGTTGGATTCGGGTTTTTTAATTAAAAAAATAAATAAAAATGACTTTATTAGCGTGTTGATGCGCTCAACTATTTGGAGCGAAACGCGCCTTGAGTTGGGTGACGGAAGGGGGAAATAAATATACTTTTATGCACTTAAGGTGTGTAATAGGTCTCTCCATTAATTAAAGTGTGTAAATGACTTTTGGGTACAAGTTTAGGGGGAAATTTATGCCTTTTGCCATATATTTATTATGATTTTTTCATAAATCACATACAAATATAGCTAGGGTAAGCATATAAAAAATTATGGATTATACATATTCTAAATTTATACAAATCAAGCAAATTATACAAATTGAAAAAACTATAACCGCAAATTACAATTTTCTTAAATCGTAGGTATCTAATATAGGCTAAATATATATTTGCTATGCTGAATAATTTTCCCTTATCACTGAGAATTAGTAACGAAAATTCACACCTAATTACTAAATAGGAACCTATATTACCAAACATAGAAAATCATTAATATATTATTTCAAATTGAAATAGCCTAGTATCCCACAAAAACGAGCAATAAATGTCGATATAAAATCATAACATGCCTACTTAAAATCGAAAAAATAAAAACGTCTTTAAAGAGTAAATATTAGGAAAATAATTAAACGATAGCAACTACAACTATTAGAAGCATGGACAACCAAAGCTTGATCGAAAACAACATCTCCGAGGATCCACTTGGTGATGGTGCAGGTGCTTGTGTTGATGACGGAGTAATTGGCTCCGTAGGAGGAGGAGAGGAAGATGATGAAGGTGCTCGTGGTGGTGTTGGTGACGGAGAAGGAGAAGGTGACGATTTTGTGGGCCTTGGAACCCGGATGTCAACTCTCTGGCCATTTTGACAATGGCCAGGGAAGCTGCTAATGAAGTAGAAATGGCCTGGCCTTTTTATCACAAATGTGTCATTTCCAGTGTTAAATGTGGCATAAGTTGTTGTGGCATTGCATGTGTTGAAGTTTTTGTGTGTAACTCGTACCACGTTGTCCATGTGTTGCTTGTATTCAAACACTGTACAAAATAATAATTAAGGCTATACATCAACATAAAAAAAAAACATCGCAATTAGTAACATCAGTGACGTAGCCACATATAATCACCAGACTCAAATATATACCTTAAGGGTTTCAATTTTATGCATCGATGATGTAATGAATAATTACATGGTCATAGGTAGATTTAATTTCTTTATTATAAGAGCTATTAATTTGTAATCTTCTAAATTAAATTGTGTTATTAGTACATATTAGTTAAATCATTCTTTTAGAAACAATATTATTTTAAGGTTTATAGGGAAAATCCAGAAATGAACTCATAGAGGAATATTTTCCTTTGGAAAAAGCTTATGTTATAACGAAATAGGCGAAAGTTTAGCACTAGAGTAATAAATAAGATTCTATTTTCTTCTTTGATAAATTATGATTAATTACTGATATTTTAACAATATTTTTTCATATAAAATACCACATTATATCGTTTTAAAAAATAAATAAAAAGTAAAACATTGTCAAAAGTTAAAACAGATCTTAATAATAATATTAGTTTAGTAAAATTTCTTAGGATAGACTCTGAATTGGATTGTTCCATCATTTACTAGGAATTTCAAGTTCAAGAGAATAGAAAAAATTATAGTTTCAAGTGTTTGCCTAATGAATCTTACACAACGTGAATCTGAATTAATTAGCATGTACAAATATCATACACCAAATGAAAACACAAAAAAATCAAACACATAAACACTTCACAAAGACCGTTTATTGAATTTTATGTGGCCTATTTTTCTTTTGCATTCAAGGTTTATAAGTAGGACATGGAAAAAAATAGATCTGCCTATGTCTTAATTATTTTTTCTTTTGTTCTCAATCTTTTTGGGTGAAAAAAAACAAGCATATCAACCATTACTATTAACTCTATATCCTAAACAAATAAAAAAAGATATAAACATTTTAAGGCACATATATATAGATCCTAAATCCAATTTTTTTTATTTCAAATACTTTTATGCCTACAATTCCTTCTAGTCTAGAACTCCCTCGAACCCAAACACTTAAAATATACCATGTCTGAATTCACGATTAAAATCAAATTATTTGATTTTTGAAATCTAAACGATGTCACATAAATTGAAACAGACGAAGTATACGGATATAACTACTTACCAATGGAATCTCCAACACGAAAATTTTTATTGGAAGACCAAGATTTGTAGTCAATGTGACCTTTGTCTGTCCATCCAGTAGAGTCACCAACCTTGTACACTTCACCCATTGATACACCACAAAATACAAAAATCATCAAGAATAAAAACATGGTTAACTTTGAAAGAATCATAGTTTATTAGTGGGAAAAAAAATATTGGGAGGCACAAATATAATAAAAATAATTTTCGAATGGTAAGTGAATGAGGGTGTCTAGTAGCTGTATATAACAATCAGTTTTATTGTTTATTTTTGGAAAAAAACATATTTTATTAGAATTTTCCATTTTATGCAGGTGTGATTTATGGTAGCTCAATTAATTTTTATTTAATCCATGATTTGCTTTCCTTATTTTCCCCTTCTAAAGTTAATATCACATATAATATAATACGGGTTACATCTGTCATTTCAACCGGCCATAAAATTTGGGACATCAGTTTTGACTTTTGTTTATGCAATCTACATAAATTTTAATTTTAATTTCAAATTTAATTTTTTCAAAAGTAAGATTTCAAACTTCAAATTGTGACTTTTAAAATTATTTAAAATATAAAACTTGATTCATAAGTGAAAAAAAGATTCATCATTTTAAATTGTAATTTTTTTAATAAAGTGTCCTATTTTTGGTGCCTCCTTCAAGTAATACCCGTCATAATTAAAAAATAATAATTCACAAATACCCAGTATGAAGAAGTTTTAAGGCAAAAGTATATGTTTCTTTTTTGCTTCTTTTGCTCTTGCATTTAGAGTCTGTTTGGCATTACATCTAAAAATTGCTTATTTTTATAAGCATTTTTTCAAAATAAATTTTCAGAAAAATGCTTTTGAAAAAAGTAATTTATGTTTAGCTAATTCATTTGAAAAGTATTTTTATAAGTAAATTGTGTTTGACTAATCTTTTTTAAGAAGTAGTACTTTTGAGAGTCAAATTACGATGAAGGGCGAGTATTAATGTACTTTCAATATTAAGATTATTTTATAGAGAAAAACTAGTTTAAACATCTATTACAAAAAAAAATTAAATTAAATTAAATTATTATTTTTATTAAATTAAAATATTCATATTCAAATTTTCAATCAATATCATACAATTTTTTTGGAGGGTTGAAATCTTTAATTGTTAGTTTTTTTCTTTTTTCTAATCTTGCAAAAATATTGTTGTTACCTTTATTTCTATTTTTGCAAATAATAAATTAAATAATAACACATAAACCTAAAATAAATAATATAAAAATAAAAAATAAATTATTAAATGAAATTAACCAAACATATGAAATGTGTTAAATTTACTATATATATATGTTAAAAATAAACATATAAATTTATTATATATATATATAAGGAATATTTTAGTCTTGAAAAAAAATAATTGTTTCTGCTTTACTTAAAAAGCATAATTTTTTAGCTTCTTCCCAACAACAGAAAAATTGTTTCTACTTCTATTTAAAATTGGTTTTACAGGTTTGTCAAACACCTAATTTTTAAAAAAAATATTTTTTTTCTCATAATAAGTGTTTCTCAGGTCCCAGCAACAATGTCAAGCAGGCTCTTAGACACACAAAAATTTTGGTCATTAATATGTGTTCCAATCATTTTATATATCAGATGGTATAAATGTAATTTATTATTTTGAGTTAACCTATTAAAAGTATTATTATTAGATTATCTATTTTAAATTGGAAGCTTCAAAAAATATTATTAATAAATTATATATCTAGTCAAATATTGTCACAGTGAGAGGTAAGAAATAGAATTTACTTACTCATAAGTCATACCAGCATATGAATGATTTTTTCAATATTATTGTATTTTAACTTGTTTAACTAGTTATTTGCCTTTTTTTATCAAGCTATTAGTTCTTTTTTATTTTATTTTAGAAGATTGCTTATAATTATTTTTTAGACTAGGAGATAAAGTAAAAATTCTTCGGACAAAAGTGTGGTCAATTTACTCTTTTACCATGTTAATATATCCTTATTTAGTCGGTCTTGATAGTCCAAATACGAAAAGTCATTCTACGAAATATTTTTAAGACTTTTGATCGTATGTCCTCTACACTGACCTTGAATTCTTCTCTTCTTAAACTCTAGGGGTCGTTTGGTGTGAGGGATGAAAAAATAAATAGTCATGGAATTAAAAAAACAGTTCAGGGATAAAAATTTGATGTCTTGTTTGGTTGCCAAGTTTGGAATAACTTATCCTGGATTATCTCATATAAATAGTGGGATAAAACTTATCGCAAAATAGCTTATCCTGAGATAACTTATTCCCAACCAAACGATCCCTTAATCACCTGAAAATGAAATCGCAATGCACTAATTAAAACCCAACACATGAGCAATGAACAATGGGTAAACCCCAAAATTCTTTTTAATACATAAACATTCATACCCTACAACATTGGGTTAGCCCCTAGTACAAATTAAAATACATAATCTGCACCAATGACAATCATGAACAAAGTAAGGCTAATCCCAAACCCAAGCCCAAGCCCTAGCCCATTATTAATGAACAATGAAGGTGCACTGCTCTTGGCTGGGGCCGGTGCAGTTACATGGACACTAGTAGTAGATAAGGCTGTTGCAGGAGCTGGGCTTGGGCTTCCAGTTGGAAAATCACTGGGCCGAACAACTTTAGGTACCCTGACATCAACCTTTTGACCGGTTAGACAGTGGCCTGGAAAACCACAAATATAGTAATAGTGACCCGGACCCATGATGGTGATGGAGTCGTTGCCGGAAGAGTAACTCCTGATGGGATTCGCAGCGTTACAATTATGGTAATCATGGAGGCTCACTCGCAGGACATTGTTTTGTGTTTTGTCATACACAAATACTGCAGTATTATTAAGGTGAAAATAAATGAAAATTCAACAGTATAGAAACTTTTGATTTCTATTAATTCACATATCACAAATCTTTATTTTTGTATTAAGTCATACATGAAAAGAGTCAAAAATATTTATGAACAATTTGGAATGAGATATAGACATAGTTTGCACATTCATATTTATTAAATTTAAATCTTAAATCTACCTTTAATCAAAGGAAACAATTTACTTAGTCATCATTCAACAATAATATTACAAGCACAAAAATAAAGGTTTTAGGTTTATCATAAGGAAACATCTCAATAAAATCTAATCTCATTGTTTCAAATCTCAAAAATTATTCATCCAATTAAGATTTTTAAACTCCCTATTAACTTGTAGTCTTTATGTGAAAGATAATAACTAAGAAATCTTTTCTTTTACTTTTCTATCACTTGAATAAGCCAAACAGTTTTGTCTTACAAATTGTTAGTCAAGAACAAAGGTGTTTTACTGGTCTAATTTAGTAAATTTTTTGTAATTATGTATTTATTGAATGTATATAAATTAGTATTAATTTGGAAATTAATAACTAAAATTCTAAATTCACGAACCTCAAATCATGATTTCACCTCTACTCAAGAATTCAATCGAATAAAATTGATATTTAAAACAAATTAAAAAGAGCGTTATGAGCAAGGCGGACTTACCGAGAATGTCACCGACCTGAAACTTTTTTGTTGCAGCCCATATACGATAATTAACATTGGCGCTACCGAACGTCCAACCAGCATCATCACCAACTTTGTACACAGCAGCACCAGTGAGAGTGGCCATAAAAAAGCTAAAAACAATCGTTATCGACAGAAAAATCATAGCAACTTTCATAAAACCCATGAGTACTCAACAACAACAAGAGATTTTTTTAGTAGTTGGTCTAAAATAAGTAGTAATTAACTAAGAAGATTCAAATGAAAGGTGAAGTTATAGAAGTGTTCTTATATATAACGTTAATTGGGCAGAATGAGCGAAGAAAACGCCAAAATTAAGTTTGTGTAGCATTAGGACTCACAAATAATGCGTGAATAATTAAGAGTTTATACATGTGAGGCGAGTTATATGTGCATTTGTCCACAGGTTAGCGATATTATATATGTTGATGCTTGCTAATGTGATTTCAAATACCCATTCAATTTAAGTATGGTCGATATGATTACACTAATTATTTTTATTTTGATGACTTTATATGTATTACTCTCTTCCTTTTACTTGTCAAGAATGGCAAGGATGTGTTTGACATGAAAAGAAGATACTGAAAAATATTCTTTAGAAAAAATAAGTAATTTTTATTTATTTTATTGTATTCGTTATGTAAACAAAAAAAATATATTTGTATATAATTTAGATACATATTATGAATGATGAAGGTAGAGGTAAGGGTGGGAGTAGTGGAAAATGGGGTTATAAGGTTGGGGTGAAAACAAGGTGCATTGGAGGGTGGATGAAAACTAATGTAAAATATCACTAGAGAAATTTGTTTTATCAACTTGCCCAAGGAAAATCATATTCTGATGTAAAATGGATGTCCTTATAATATATTTTGTATTGTACAATAGATGTACACACATTATGCTTTGTGTTTTACAAAGGATATACATACAATATACATTAGGTTATAAAATAGATATATACACAATATACTATGTATTGTAAACTAGTTGTCTATACAAATTTGGTGCCCAAGTATATCCAATGGTGCCAATAAATAAATAAATAAATATATATATATATATATATAATGTAGTTATACAAATCCAAATCATATAATTATAGAACAATGAAGTTATGTTATTTGTATAATTCATTTTTAGCTATTCACAAATACATTAACATAAATCGTGTTCAATTATTTGTGTAACTTCGACAAATATTTAGAATAATGTTATTTATTAGGGGGTCAAATTTATGGTCAACGAAGGTTCAAGAGAAGCCCCACACATGCAATGTGATACAAATATTGGTGTAATTAAGGATTTGGCCAAGAAACTCTCTGAAGATCAACTTAAGCGATTTAGTGAAGTAAAATGTTTTGCTCAGTAGAACAATAACATATACAAAACTGATACGATTAATAAAAAATTACTCAATTATATTTATTTGTTGACTTAAATATATAATGAATTGTTTAAATCTATATGATATACAAAACAAGCATTAGCATATACAAACTGATACAAGTAATTCAAAATTACTCAATTATA